TGGGTAATCTGTATCGAGGCTTACGCGAGCATATTTACAAATATACTTACCAATATATCAAGTGTATACTTGACCAGTGTGAGGTGCTGGCTTTGTTTGTTTGTTTGTTTGTGGTGGCTTGAGGGAGAGGGGACCAAGCCTTGAGAGGCGGTGTCTGGCACCCTCAACTGGGTGTGTGGGGGGGGGGGGGGAGGAATACACTGAAAATCAGTGTATTCCTCCCCCACCCCCCCCCCCCCACCCACTACCCACCCCTCGCCGCCTCTCAGCTCTTTATCTACCACGCCATTCCTTAGTTTCCTCCCCTTTCCAACTCTTCCACGGGGGGCTGCGCTGTACCTGTCCCCTTCTCTAATCCTTTCCTTCCCGCTGTGAGTGATCTAGAATCGGCAGCATCACCACCATTCATCTCCAGACACAAGCATCCTCCGCCTACGCCGATATCATCCCATCTCATCTGGGAAGCTGGGCCTCGTCGACGCCCCTGTCTCAGCCTCCTCCATGTAAATAGACAGAGTTTTTTGGGGATGGAAGGGCGGGACGGGTAATGGACGGAGGTGCTCGGCTCAAATGACCTCCACGAATCAATGGTATCGGAACGTTTTACTGTAAATAAACGTTTAAACGTTATAACAATAGAACGTTTACTATAAATAAACGAAGGTATAATTTTAAACACTGATATCCATGAGTTGCCACGGGGTGGAGACAGAGAGAGAGAGAGAGAGAGAGAGAGAGAGAGAGAGAGAGAGAGAGAGAGAGAGAGAGAGAGAGAGAGAGAGAGAGACGGGAGAGAGAGCGAGAGAGAGAGAGATGAGGAGAGAGAGAGGAGAGAGAGAGACGAGAGAGAGAGAGAGAGAGAGAGAGAGGAGAGAGAGAGAGAGAGATGAGAGAGAGAGAGAGAGAGAGAGAGAGCGAGGAGAGAGAGAGGAGAGAGAGAGAGCGATGAGAGAGAGAGAGGAGAGAGAGAGAGAGAGGAGAGGAGAGAGAGAGAGAGAGAGAGAGAGAGAGAGAGAGAGAGAGAGAGAGAGAGAGAGAGAGAGAGAGAGAGAGTGCACACTCTGTATCGCCGTCCGAACGCTCGGCATTTGTTTATCAGCCATTATCTGAGAAAACAACTATCAGACGAAGCGAATTGAAGCTAATTGTCGTTCATTCAAGTAGTCCGAATAGTACTTTCTTCATCGGGTATCGAACCCACGTCTTGTAGGAGCTGATAGCGTGTTGAGGGCATAGCTGGGATGTTGTTCACCCTCATCTGTGTATGTTTGTGTTAGCGTGTGTGTTGTGTGGCTGTAATAATGTTTGTGTGTGTGTGGGTTTGTGTGTCTGGATTTGGTTTGGTTTGGTCTTGGTTAGGCAGGACTTGGTTAGGCAGGACTTGGTTAGGTTGGGTGTAGTTAGGTAAACGAAGCCTATTTCTAATATTACATCTGGCCTAGTAGCGGTCAACACCGTAGGACGCGAGAGATAGTATTGTCTACACACTGTCGCCACCACAGGTCACCACCACAGATCACCACCACACATCACCACCACAGGTCACCACCACAGATCACCACCACAGATCACCACCACACATCACCACACCCACCACACCAAGGTGTTTCTCAGTAGCGCTGCCACCCACCAGTAATGCATCTCAACTTAGACATGTATACCAACGATCCGCGACACGTCGCCAATGTACACAAAATATAACACTTAGTTCGAAATGTTAAACTCCCTCCAAAAAGCATTTTGTTCTGCCTTTTGAATCTTGACTTTTCTGTTCTGACGCAGATTCGTGACCGACGGAGGCCCCAGCGAGGACAAGCTCCTGCCGGGGGACCAGATCCTCATGATCAACGGTGAGGACGTGAAGAAGGCCCCCAGAGACCACGTTATCCAGTTGGTCAGGTCGTGTAAGGATAAAGTCCAGCTGACGGTCACCCAACCTCCCCTGGATAATGTAAGTCACCTCCAACTGGACTGGTGTTGCGGGGGCTAGGACTTGGGCTAGGTCAGCCAGCTGTAGCTCTCCCTCATCTGGCATGCAGGTCGGTGTTCAATCCCCGACCGTCCAAGTGGTTGGGCACCGTTCCTTTTCCCCCTCCCCATCCCATCCCAAATCCTTATCCTGACCCCTTCCCAGTGCTATATAGTCGTAATATCTTGGCGCTTTCCCCCTGATAGTTCCTTCTCCCTCATCTGGGTCTGCTGGGTTATAAATAATTAGAGGCAGGTTCTGTTTACACACACGCACAATTATTTGCTTTATTTATGTTTGATAATTGACTGGTTGACTGATCTGACTGACTTGATTCATGCATCTTTCGCCCTCTCTCCGCTTCTTAACCTAACTCCTGATTCCCCTCCCCCACTCCCCATTCGACCCCCTTCCCCATTCGACCCCTCCCCCCTCCCTGCCCTTATGACTCCCCCCCCCTCCCCATACCAGGCGTCATAACCAGACTGTGGGAAAGTTAATTATGGCTTGGTGGGGACGAGCGTTTTAGGAGTGGTTGTAGAGTTGTCTCGTTGGGGTAGTTGTAGGGGGGTGGTTGTAGTGGTAGTATATTGTGGTGGCTGTGAATGGATGTATAGGTGTGTACACTCATAATCCCCCCTTTGTTTATGAGGTGTGAGATGTATTTCCATAAGCTTAGCTCTAGCACTAATCTTGTCGCAAAGCTCTGTGATTTTTTTTTTTTGCTACACGAGGTTCGGATTCCAGGCCGGTGCTGCATATTCCAGTGTTGGTCTAGCCAAAGGCTGTGCACACTGGCTCGAGAAAAAGAGCCCCTGGGGTCGGGTTTCAAAACGGTGGTTTAATGTTTGTCAGCGTCTCATATGCTGATGATGTTATCGTGCTTGTGTGTGTCCCCCACCTCCCCCCCCCCTCCCTCCCTGGTGTTAGTGTTGGAATTATATCCAAGAGCACTATTATCTCAGCTTCCCGTCTCCAAAGACGCAAGAATCTGAGCCTCCCGTCTCCAAAGACGCAAGAATCTCAGCTTCCCGTCTCCAAGGACGCAATTAGCGTCTCAGCCTTGCGTCTCCCAAGGAGGTAGACGAAACACTGTGCCAGACACCAGGTGTGTGTGTGTGTGTGAGGGGGCTGCGTCCCCTGCGTCTATTCTTGACCCGATGTTGTGCATTTCATCTCTCTATATTCACAACTCCTGGTTATCGTAACTCGCTGTATATTTCCACATTTCTCAATTCTTCCCTTCACCTCTCCATCTTATTTAATCCCCCCCCCCCCCCTTCCTCCCCGAGTGTTCTGCCGAAGGGAATCGAACTCCCCGCGAGGTTGTGAACCCGGTGCGCTGACCACTGCGCCACACTTGTAATGGCCCACCCCCCCTTTTTAGTTATTATTCCTTCCCCTATTTTATGATAGCGTCCACCCCCCCCCCTTTCCCCCTCCTCTTCACGGTATAATAGTTCGTCGACTTAATTGCCTCACACCTGTAATATCCCACACACCTGTAATATTCCACACACACACCTGTAATATCCCACACACACACCTGTAATATCCCATACACACCTGTAATATCCCACACGCACACCTGTAATATCCCACACGCACACCTGTAATATCCCACACGCACACCTGTAATATCCCACACGCACACCTGTAATATCCCACACACACACCTGTTCTCCGACGTCGGTCTTTAGGAAGAAAGTGTTGCCAACCAGATATATTGACCACTAATGAGGAAACTTTGGCAGACTCCACTAGTGTGGAGCCTGGCAACGCCCTTCCTCTCTCTCAATAACGTCTTGCTCAGGGGAAGTTGTTGATGAGGGGTCCCCAGATCCCCAGATCCCCAGATCCCCAGGTTCCCAGATCCCCAGATCCCCAGATCCTTAGGTCACCAGATCCCCAGGTTCCCAGATCCCCAGGTTACCAGATCCCCCACGCCCCCATGTCTTCTTTTTCCACGAATGCGCCCTTTGTGGTAAGTTTTTTGGCCTTGCTGAAAGACAGAGCCCTGTCCCCTCTGGTTTGATGGTCACCATTAGACCCCCTCCAGACATCTATACTATGTGCATGTATGCTTCTGTGACGTATATAACAATTGACTCGACAAGTACAGTTGCCACTCTCAAGACTTTCTTAGCTAGTCTCTTAAGACTTTCTTAGCTAGTCTCTCAAGACTTTCTTAGCTAGTTCAACCGATTGAGAGCTGACCTTTTGCGTCTTCTCCCTTGACAGTCAGCGAGGAAGTCCGCCCTGCTGAGTGCCGCCAAGAAGCAGCGTCTCAAGTCCAACCCTTCGAGGGTGAGGTTTGCTGAGAGTGTCGACATCAACGGCTCGCCCTCGTACTCTGTAAGTTGACCATCTTAGACATTTTGGAGACACCAGTTGAGTCTCCTCTCTGGGGGCGATGTTTTTAGGCTCAGTTTAATGTGATATTTTTTGGTTATTAATACGATTGTAAGGTTGGAGTGAAGACTTAGATTTCATTACTCATGTTCCCTGGAGTTTTTTAAGACAAGTTTCTTGGAAATTCTTCAGTCAAGTTTGCCAGAGTGTTTCTTGTCAATCTATCCCACCTGGACCGACACATTCGCCCACCTGCATCAACCCTCCACCAAGCCACCTACCCACTTAACCCACCTACACCAATTCCCCCCTTCACCTAAACCGACCTACTGGCCCACCCGCAACGCCCCACCTAAACCAATCTATTCACCCACCTGCCACCAATCCCCCACCTAAACTGACCCCACACACCCACCTGCTACCAACGCCCTACCTATACCGACCCACTCACCCACCTGCACCAACCCCCCACCAAGCGACCTACCCACCTAATCCACCTACTGAGACACATCATTCTCTCCCTATCTTCTCCTCCTCACTTCTCCCTCACTCTCATTCTGGCATCTCTTATCTCACCATCCTCGTCCTCTGATTCTTCCCCCTCTTTCTCTCTCCTCTATACCTCTCTTCCCGTCTCTCACTCTCCCCCATCTCCTCTCCCTCCCTCCCTCTTCCTCTCCTTAGCCCCTCTCCCCACGTCTCTTTATACAGTATATGAAGAGAGGGTGAAGAAGGGTAGGGACGCCCCGGCGGTGCCCGGGGTAGTGAAGGAGAGGTGTGCAGGGAAGGTATACCTGGTATACCTCTCAGTAACGCTTGGTATACCTCTCTCCAGGTAATATATTTTGGTGTAAAAGTAATCATCCGTTACTCCTAATGATGGAATTTATATCGTCGCGTTGTTTGCAATTGTGTACAAGCCTCTGCAGTATTGAAAGATTCACTCGCTCGTATAACAAACAAAAATCCAAACAAAATGAATCTCTGCGTTAAAAGAGGATATATGACGTTGTCATATACGTATAACAGTGGTAGATTACGAAGGAAGGATTAAGACTTTTCCTTAAGTACTTTCGTGTTTAATAATACATCAACAGAAGGATGTATATAATAATACAATCCTTCTGAAGATGTATTATTAAATACGAAAGTATTTAGGGAAATTCCTGTCTTAATTTTTCCTTGGTGGTCTGACACTGTCACATTGTTTATTACGTGTTAATTTCTTTGTGATTTACACACACACACACACACACACACACACACACACACACACACACACACACACACACACATACACATACACATACACACACACACACACACACACACACACACACACACACACATACACATACACATACACACACACACACACACACACACACACACACACAACCCAGGCCCAGGGGCCTCGTAGCCTGGTGGATAGCGCGCAGGACTCGTAATTCTGTCGCGCGGGTTCGATTCCCGCACGAGGCAGAAACAAATGGGCAAAGTTTCTTTCACCCTAAGTGCCCCTGTTACCTAGCAGTAAATAGGTACCTGGGAATTAGTCAGCTGTCACGGGCTGCTTCCTGGGGTGTGTGTGTGTGTGGTGTGGGGGAAAAAAAAAAAAGGTAGTTAGTAAACAGTTGATTGACAGTTGAGAGGCGGGCCGAAAGAGCAAAACTCATCCCCCGCAAAAACACAACTAGTAAACACAACTAGTAAACACACACACACACACACACACACACACACACACACACACACACACACACACACACACACACATATATTGCTCAATACCAAAATTCTGCTTGTACACATATTGAACTAATTCGCTCAAAGTTCCCCTCACAGCCGTCCAACTTCAGCTCGAGCGAGTCGACGACGCCGTTCATGCCGAACGTACTCAAGGTGTTCCTCGAGAACGGCCAGACCAAATCGTTCAAGTACGACTCGAGCACCACGGTGGGGGACGTGCTGGACTCCCTCCACCAGAAGCTGGGCATCAAGTGCCCGGAACACTTCTCCCTGGTGGTGGAACACGTCAAGAGCCTCAGACGGAACAAGCTCACTATACTAGACCCGAAGGAGGCGCTGTCCAGGGTGAGTGTGATTAGGAGTAAGGGAGAGGGTGAGGGAGGGAAGAGGGTGTGGAGGGGTGATTATTAGGCTGGAATGATGGGAGGGGAAAGGAATGTACTGAACAGCGGGAGCGATGGAAAGAGGAATGCAATCAGAGAGAAAATCATAAAACAACAATAACGCTATCCACATTACGGGGCTATTCATGCCCGTGCCACCTCTTGGGTGAATTTCTATTCATCAATCAATCGCTCTCCACAGTGAATAAGACAGAGGTTAGTAGATTATGAGTGGGGAGAGAGGAGAGATTACAGAGTCCAGCTCACGCCCTCAAAATACCGTTCATACATTCGCTTTTCCTGAAATGTCATCCCGTTCGCCATCATCCGATACAAAAACCCCGGATTAAAATTCATCTAATTTCCATTTTTTTCAGATTGCAGCTCGTCCGGGGGCTCAGCACCTGAGATGTCTTTACCGAGTGACCTTTGTACCGCGGGATGCCTATGACCTCCTCAGAAAGGATTCCATGGCCTTCGAGTACCTCTATCTCCAGGTAAAACCTCCAGTTACTTGGAATTTCCCTTTCCTGGCGAAGAGGAGTACTGCACCCGGAGGGTTCCCCCTGCACCTCTCCTCCAGAAGCTTGTCGACGTTGTCGCGGTGTCTTGCCCCTGATCTGTGGTCCTCGGTCTCAACGCCTCAGTCTCAGGTCCTCGGTCTCTGGCCTTCGGTCTCTAGCCCTCGGTCTCTGATCACGGGTGGGAAATCCCTCTTATCTTCTAGTAATCCCTCTTATCTTATCAGTCTAGCTTCCCGTTTTGGACATAAACAGCAATGGAATACTTGCCCAAACTATCCTGGAATGATTTTGGTCTCTATATATGATACTCTCGCAGGCAGTAGCTCTTATCATCCCGTTGTAGAGTCCTCTATCATCCCTTCTTCTTCTTCTTGGGAACCCGCACGCTCACTCTTCATCTGGTCCCGTGCACTTGTCCGCGCCTGTGGGGCAGAGGTAGTCGGTGAGACAGGTGTCCCTGTGTATGCTGGTCCCATCCAGCACCTGTACCCTGCAGCTGCTAGACAAGTAGTACTCCTTAAGAAGCCATCGTGGCGTAGCTTAGGAAGGTTAGTCTGGGAGTACCGTAAACTCCTGCGCCTCCTCTACCACCTCAGGTTTCTCCTGTATCTCCTTGGCAAGTTGAAGTCCCTGGGCAAGTGGGCTCTCAGACTCAAAATAGTGGAACTTGTCATCCGGAATATCGAGTTCATAATGAGGCACTTGAAGAGGTTGAAGGCGGTAGGTGGTGCGTTCTTAAGGTGGCAGTTGGTGAGGAAACTCCTGGCGCGAGCGAGAAGGATAATGAAGAAATACTTGCGGTGGAATGTCCTCTGGAACTTGTTGAGACGCCTTCTCCGGAAGTGAGGTCTCTCAGACCCACCTGCTCCATCTCCTAATAAAAGTTTAATGTAGATTTTTTTCCAATAGAAAATTGTGGCAACCTTCCTTCTGACCCACACTTTTAAGACACATTTTTTTGTCATGTCTTAGAAATTTTAGCATGTAAATATTTGATATATCACGACCTAATCAAGTGTAAATTTGTGTAGATGGAGCCCATTGGCACCTGTTGTTACACCCACAGTAGAGAGGGTGTAGGCTGTAGTGGTTGTAAACTTAGGCATGCTTAATAAAGTATAGCTTGTCATAGGCGTTTTCTTAAGGTCCCCTTCCACCACCCCTCTACCAGTAGCGTAGCTCTTGGTCTCCGCCTCGCCGCTTCTCTCATTGCTATCTCCTGCGCTTGGGGTTAACTTTGTGTAGGCCTGTGATATAGTATTTTGAAGTGGAAAATACTTGCTCCTACTGTTGTGTTCTGTATCCTGTTGGTAACTAATATATCAGTGTTCTGATGGTGTGGTGGGAATATTTTCTTGTGTTCTGATGGTGTGGTGGGAATATTTTCTTGTGTTCTGATGGTGTGGTGGGAATATTTTCTTGTGTTCTGATGGTGTGGTGGGAATATTTTCTTGTGTTCTGATGGTGTGGTGGGAATATTTTCTTGTGTTCTGATGGTGTGGTGGGAATATTTTCTTGTGTTCTGATGGTGTGGTGGTAATGTTTTCTTGTGTTCTGATGGTGTGGTAGTGATGTTTTCTTGTGTTCTGATTGTGTGATAGTGATTTTTTCTTGTGATCTGATGGTGTGGTGGTAATGTTTTCTTGTGTTCTGATGGTGTGGTAGTGATGTTTTCTTGTGTTCTGATGGTGTGGTAGTGATGTTTTCTTGTGTTCTGATGGTGTGGTAGTGATGTTTTCTTGTGTTCTGATGGTGTGATAGTAATGTTTTCTTGTGATCTGATGGTGTGGTGGTAATGTTTTCTTGTGTTCTGATGGTGTGGTAGTAATGTTTTCTTGTGTTCTGATGGTGACAATAATAATGATTTCTCTCTATTGTAATGGTGAATTATTTTTTTCACATGTTTGGCAATGTTTTCTCTGTGTGCTGATGTTTTGACACGATGTAGTTTGACCATATTATTAGTAGCTTGTTATTAGTAGTTTGACGAAACTACTAACTAATTATAACTAACTAATTAGTACTAACAAATACGAATCAACCAGGTACCTTCTGACAGTCATTTGAGGGGTTTTTGTAGAACCTTATTTTCAAAATGGTTTTTATTAAAGGTTTATTTATTTTTTATTAATATTTGTGGAACAAATATTGTTGGTTTGATGTCCATAGGGAATGGAAAGGATGGGGGAGGTAGAGGGATGGGGAGATGAAATTCAGGAAGAGGATGCGGGTGTAGAGAGAGAGGAGGTTTGAAAGTTCGGTGGCCTGTCCACCATGGGTTGACATTTTTGTATGTGTTGTTTGTTTGCGTGTGTGTTATGTTGGGTTGTCAGTACATTGGCTGGGGGGCTAGTGTTTGTGACCTTGTTGGTGTCCTAAAGCACTAGAGCCGATGGAGTTGGCTGAAGGAGGCTAATCTTAGAAACATCAGGGTAGTTACACTTCTGCCGCCACGACAAATGGTTTTTTGGTTTTATATTTTTTTGTAGGTGTTTTATTTATTTATATATTTTTTTTTTTTTTTTTTTTTATTATAAATATTGTCGATTTGTTTTATAATATTCCTCCATGATGACATGGATACAGGATACCATTATGAAATCTATATTTTTGTAAACACGGTCAAAATAATGTGTTTTTAATTTTCATTTTAAAATTGACATTTCAGCATTTACTTCCTCTGTAACGAAGCTCTGAACTTTTTGGGTTTTATAGAAACCCAAAAGCAGAGGTACAGTGGGTTTTTTTGGGGATGAGTTTTACTCATTTTTTCCCTCCATGTCAACCCTAATTGGCAACTAAAAATATTTGAACAAATTGGTTGATAAGAATTGTATATTCACATTTTGTTATCTGAGGTTTAAAAAGAACCTTTGATAGGGGCATACGTTAGTCCAATTGCTAGTTACCATCTAAACTACATAATTGCCCAGTTTTATATCATATCAGACATTAGACAATAAAAATTATATTCGGGGTAGATTCTGTGATGTTTTTTAACACGAATCAATGAACTGTTTGATAAAATTTCACATTGAAAAAATATTTATACAGCCTTTAAGTGGGCTTGAAGTAGATATGTGGAATTATAAAGAAATTCTTGACTAAACGAAGATACTAGTCTTAGTGAATAAGGTTTAAAAGCTAGTAGCTAAACTTGAAATTAACTTAATCTGCTAAATAGATGGAATTAACAGTAACAAATCGATATTTGGTTTATTATGAAAGCAAAAAAAAAATATATGTTACAAATTGACTAAAAGTCAAATATGTCTCAACTGACTGGACATGGGGGGAGAAATACATAAGATTTAGAATGGGGGAAACCAGCCATAATTAAGATAGGAAAATACCCATAATAATGGAGGTTCCATTAAAGTTAAGACCCCCCAGGTGTGCTAGAACCACCACCACCACAACTACATCAACCACAACAACCTCCCCCCTCTCTACAACCACTCACACTAGCCCCTCCACCTGTTCCTTCTCCCATAGTGTTGTAACGACGTGATCCAAGAGCGGTTCTCCCCTGAGCTGAAGTACGACGTGGCGCTACGGCTGGCGGCGCTGCACATCCAACAACACGCCCTCACCAACAACATGTCCGCCAAGGTCTCCGTCAAAAACATCGAGTGAGTAGTTGTAGTTTTTCTAAATCATCAGAAGTAAAACGGTAAGTCCGTTTTCTTTTCCTTGCTGGTGACCGCAATGGCCCCCAGGAGGTCGGCCATGGTGATGGGTCGAGGCTCCGTGTTCCAGTACTGCCGCTGTATCTGACTGTAGCGGCGCGGCTCGCGCAAGTTGCGCACCTGCAGCAGCTCCTGTAGGCCCGAGACGGAGGCGCAGCGGACCACCTCCTTCAGGTCGGAGCCCGTGAAGCCGTTTGTCACCCTGGCCAGCTCCGCCACGTCTACGTCGGCGTCCACACGACGTCCCCGCAGCAGGATCTCCAGGATTTCCCGCCGCCCCGCCTCGTTAGGCTTAGGGATGTTGAACTGCAGCGGGAAGCGCCGCAGGACTGCGGGATCGAGCGCATGCCTGCGGTTGGTGGCGGCTAGGATGAACACCATCGCGTGCTCATCCGTCTCAAGTCCGTCCCACCGGGACAGGAAGACGGATTTGATGATCAGATCAGTGTTGCAATCCGTCTCGGCGCGGCGGCCGAGCAGCGCATCCACCTCATCGATGAAGATGATGCACGGCTGGATCTTATACGCCAGAGTGAAGATGGCGTCCGCCATCTTCTCGCTCTCCCCCAGCCACTTGTCCCGGACTTTAGACAGGTCGATAGACAGGAAATTGGAGTCTACTTCGGCCGTGATGGCCTTGGCGATGAGGGTCTTGCCGCAGCCGGGGTGGCCGTGGAGCAGGATGCCCTTGGCCGGCATGATGCCCGGGTCGTTGTCGATGTAGCGGGCGTACACCAGCGGCAGGACCAGCTGCTGCCAGATCTGGTCGAGGGCGTCGTCGCACCCGCCCACGTCCTCCCACGTGATGCCCAGCCGCCCCCGGGGCACGAGGCACGTCAGCAGCCGCGACTCGTGGCACGTGAGGCCCCTCAGCACGCTCACGTCCACCCGCAGCTGCTCGGCCAGGGGCAGCAGCTGGGCGTCCCTGGCGGCGTCCCTGGCGTCCATCGCCGTCGCCGCCTGGGGGTCGACGGCCACCACCTCCATGCACACCTTGTCGTCCTCCACCATCAGCATGTACCGGAGGAAGACGACCACCGCCGACACGAAGACGACCACCACCAGCAGCGACGCGCACGACAGCGCCAGCGCCGTCGTCGACAGCCATACTGCCGTTTTCTCCACCTTAGTCTCGCTCCCAAATATCATTACTGATAGAAATTACAACTTAATGTTTACTTTACAGAGTATTATTTTTTTTGGTAGGGCTTTGGATACGTGAACCCAGATGAGGCGTGGCCAGAGGTGGGGGGGGTTAGGGTTGTTGGGAGGGGGGGGGGAGGGGAGTAGTTAGGGTGGTAGGGAGGGGAGGGGAGTAGTTAGGGTGGTAGGGAGGGAGGGAGGGGAGTAGTTAGGGTGGTAGGGAGGGAGGGAGGGGAGTAGTTAGGGTGGTAGGGAGGGAGGGAGGGGAGTAGTTAGGGTGGTAGGGAGGGGGGGGGAAGTAGTTATGGTGTAAGGAGGGGGGAGGAGAGTAGTTAGGGTGGTAGGGAGAGGGGAGGGGAGTAGTTAGGGGGGGAGGAGAGGGGGGGAATGGAGTAGTTAACAAAATGCGTGGAACGGCTTCAGCACAGAAGCTCTCTACAAGCTTTTCATGGAGTTAATTAATTATTTACATTAATATTTTGGGTCGGAAAAGAATGGTGTGTTAGTATGTCATTATCTCCCACGGTGTAGACAGTGGGGGGGGGGGAGAGATGACCCTGAACCCCCCCTCTGGTAATGTAAACTGAACCCTGTGTATGCCCCCGTGACAGTTGACAGCTTCCTGTATACCCCGTGACAGTTGACAGCTGTCTAGCGCTGCGGCTGTTGTCTTGACGGCAGCGCTGCGGCTGTTGTCTTGAAGGCAGCGCTGCTGCTGTTGTATTAAGAATGTGGGTCAATGTATTAAAGGATACAGTATAGTGTAGCGGCGGTCAGCCAATCATAGTCCTTGACTCTCAGGAAAACAAAAATCTATGTTGATATGTTGGGCAAGATGATATCACTTGATCCATGATATCACTTGATCCATGATATCACTTGATCCATGATATCACTTGATCCATGATATCACTTGATCCGCGCAGCACAAGACGGGGGCTGAGCGGCACTGTTTGGCACTTCCCCTAGTGCCTCTATAGTGCCTCTCTTTCCCTCCCTTTGAGTCTCTTCATTATTATTTGTACCTTGGTATCTTGTATGTTGGGATTATATCCCCTCCTCTAATCCTTCTCACCTTTAAGAAATGTTCTCTTAGTGTGTCCTCATAAATGAGCCCATTTAATTCATGCAGTAATAGTGTTGCAGATCTCTGAACTTTTACAAGGTTAGTTTGTCAACTATTGTCCTTACATAGGCTGCGTCGATTGTCTTAAAAGTGCCCTTATTTAGGTGATTACCAGCGTGCCATGTGCTGGTAGTTAGGAGTGCCTCCGATTGGCACTGTGTTCCCCTTGAAGGGAACTATCAGGGAAGGGGGGGACAGCGCCAAGCCATTACGACTATATAGCACTTGGAAGGGGGTCAGGATAAGGATTAGGGATTGGACGGAGGGGTAAAGGAATGGTGCATAACCACTTGGACGGTCGGGGGATTGAACGCCGACCTGCATGAAAGGAGACCGTCGCTCTACCGTCCAGCCCAAGTGGTTGGCATCCCCCTGAGCCGTCTCTCATTCTCATTTATTTAGTTGATACCATCAACCTCGTTTTATATTCCTCTTCAGCACCCTCTACCTCTTCCTTTCCCATCCCGACCACTTCCTCCTTTCCCTGCCCCCCTTTTTCTTCCCTTTCCCATCTCCTCCCCCTTCCTACCTCCCCTTCCCACCTCCCCTTCCCTCACTTCACTTAATAGGGGCACATTACCCTATAAATAAACAGAAAGCTTTGCTTTGTCTACCCAGCGGTTGACTCATAGCTATATACTTGCCTCTCCTCCCTCATGTTCCCGTCATCTAATTAGGGGGGACCGGTACACGTACTAGGGGGGACCGGTACATGTACTAAGGGGACCGGTACACGTACTAGGGGGGACCGGTACACGTACTAGGGGGGACCGGTACACGCACTAGGGGGGACCGGTACATGTACTAGGGGGGACCGGTACACGCACTAGGGGGGACCGGTACACGCACTAGGGGGGACCGGTACATGTACTAAGGGGACCGGTACATGTACTAGGGGGACCGGTACACGTACTAGGGGGACCGGTACACGCACTAGGGGGGACCGGTACATGTACTAGGGGGGACCGGTACATGTACTAAGGGGACCGGTACATGTACTAGGGGGACCGGTACATGTACTAGGGGGGACCGGTACATGTACTAGGGGGGACCGGTACATGTACTAAGGGGACCGGTACATGTACTAAGGGGACCGGTACATGTACTAGGGGGACCGGTACATGTACTAAGGGGACCGGTACATGTACTAGGGGACCGGTACACGTACTAGGGGGGACCGGTACACGTACTAGGGGGGACCGGTACATGTACTAAGGGGACCGGTACATGTACCAGGGGACCGGTACATGTACTAAGGGGACCGGTACATGTACTAGGGGGACCGGTACATGTACTAAGGGGACCGGTACATGTACCAGGGGATCGGTACACGTACTAGGGGGGACCGGTACACGCACTAGGGGGGACCGGTACACGCACTAGGGGGGACCGGTACATGTACTAAGGGGACCGGTACATGTACTAGGGGGGACCGGTACATGTACTAGGGGGACCGGTACATGTACCAGGGGATCGGTACACGTACCGACCAGACGTACAACCCCCGCTGTAGACGCATCATCCCCGCCTTTAGTCAGAAGCTGAAGGGAAGGGGGGGGGGATAGTTCATTCATCCTTACACGCCTTAGACATGGATCAGTTTCATGGAGATAATTAGAAATTCCCAGCCATTGTTAATTAATAACGACCATTAGAACAACGTTGACCAGACCACACACTAGAAAATGAAGGGACGACGACGTTTCGGTCCGTCCTGGACCATTCTCAAGTCTACAATCGACTTGAGAATGGTCCAGGACGGACCGAAGCCTAGTCGTCCCTTCATTTTCTAGTGTGTGGTCTAGGGAGCCGGTCGGCCGAGCGGACAGCACGCTGGACTTGTGATCCTGTGGTCCCGGGTTCAATCCCGGACGTCGGCGAGAAACAATGGGCAGAATTTCTTTCACCCTATGCCCCTGTTACCTAGCAGTAAAATAGGTACCTGGGTGTTAGTCAGCTGTCACGGGCTGCTTCCTGGGGGGGGGGTGGAGGCCTGGTCGAGGACCGGGCCGCGGGGACACTACAAAGCCCCGAAATCATCTCAAGATAACCTGGTCACCATATTTCAGCCACGTAATTGTGACTCATCATCTACATTAGAACAACAACCATTTCACATTTAATGTAGAGTTAAAACATTAACCTAACCAACCTAATTAGCTTAAGTAGAAAAAATGAGAAGTTAACCCCATCCTCCTGTACTTGAAAAAGTCAGGAAATGCTGTTGTTACCTCTGGCTGGTGGGAGACAGGGAGTTGTTGCTGCTGGTGTTATGTTGCAACGTCTCGCTTGCAACATCTGGATGTCGTATGTGTCTGCTCGACTTATCCATAGTCTTTTTTTGACTAAATGTATATATGATTTTTTTTGCAGCAGCAGCAGCGTGCGCCCATTCTTCGAACGACACATGGAAGATTTTAAAGATTTTTTTTTGGCTTGCCGGTGTGAAAACAAATACAATAGGGGCTGGTGGCTGAGTGGACAGCGCTCTAGACTCGTGGTCCTAGGGACCGGTGTTCGATCCCTGGCGCCGGCGGAAAAACATATGGGGCAGAATTTAATTCACTCTGATGCGCCTGTTACCTAGCAGGAAATAGGTACCTGGGAGTTAGACAGCTGCTACGGGCTGCTTCCTGTGTGTGTGTGTGTGTGTGTGTGTGTGTGTGTGTGTGTGTGTGTGTGTGTGTGTGTGTGTGTGTGTGTGTGTGTGTGTGTGCGTGTGAAAAATAATAGTAACAGTTGATTGATTGTCAGTTGAGAGGCGGGACCATAGAGCCGAAGCTCAATCCCCGCAAGCACAACTAGACGAGTACACTCACACCAACTCACACACTAATGACCCATCAAGGAATCGAACCTAGGCCGCCAGGATCTCCGCCACTGACCGCCCGGTGTTGTAACCACTAGACCAGCGACTGTGTAAAAGCGTTGGGAAGCCCTGGGACCCGCATGCATCCAGCCCCCGGCAACACTCGTGGCGTGATCCAGCCAATACTACCACCACCACCACTACTACTACTACTACTTCTATTACTACTATTCGTAGTAGTTTTGGTTGTGTTATCAATTCAATAAGTAACAGGCGTTATTGTTGATGTAATTATTGGATATATATCAGTAGTACTATTTTCCAAGGGGTGGTGTTGAATATAATTACTGTACTTGTGTTAGTGAGAACTACCGAATATTTATCCCCCCCTCCCCCCCCATGCACTTATCTTCTCTACCCCCTCCCCCTCCCCCCTCATCCCTTCCCTTTTTTTTTCTCCCCTTCCCAGTTCACTCTTCCTTCTTCATCACACCCCCTCCCCTGTCTTCCGCCACTCCCCTATCTTCCCCTACCCCCTATCTTCCCCCCCCCCTCCCCATATCTTCCCCTCTCCCCCTATCTTCCCTCACCCCCCTGTCTTCCCCACCCCCTCCATCTTCCAAGGATCGGGTAGGCAGGGTGCCCCCTCCCTCCCCCCCCATGAGAGCCATTCCCCCTCCCCCCCTAACCTCCCCTCCTCCCCCCCATCTCTGCCCCATCAACAAACAGGGGCACTTGTGTTGCTGGGGGAAGGAGGGGGGCTGGGTATCCTGCCAGCCATGCCCGTCAACACCCCCCCCCCCTCCCTCCCACTCCCCCCCCCCCCACTTATTATACCCTTGACGGGATGGGTTACGAGTTGTGTAGCCTACTTTGGGTGCGTTGATTGGTGATTTGAGATTGAGTAACTGTCTAACGTGTGTGTGTGTGTGTGTGTGTGTGTGTGTGTGTGTGTGTGTGTGTGTGTGTGTGTGTGTGTGTGTGTGTGTGTGTGTGTGTGTGTGTGTGTGTGTGTGGCTTGTGTTGTGTGTGTGTTTTAAGTTGCTTGCTATTTATTGTGTTTTTTTTAAACATTGTGTTGCATTTCAGGAGAGATTGTGGCTTAGAACGCTTCGTACCGTCGTCTCTAGTCGACTCCATGAAGCGTAAGGAGCTCCGAAAACTCTTATCCCACTTCTTGAAAATCAATAGTAATTTAACTACGCCGGGACAAAAACAATTAACGGCGTTGCAAGCAAAGCTCCACTACCTCAAGATCATCTCCGAGCTCCCGTCTTACGGCGCCAAGTGCTTCTCCACAAATCTCAAGGTAAGAATGGAAACCTTTTGTCTCCCTCGTGTTAAAATATTTGGTCGGGATTGTGTGCAATGACGCTTATGAATTAGCGAGGGAAAATTCAGCTTGGTATCCCCTGAAAATCAGAAATACTTCGTTTTCTATCAGATTATTGGGATTTAAGAAAACGATATTTTGTGTATGGGTAACCATAGAAATTCTTCATTTTTGTTGTTCAAGTGTAATATTATTTTTTTCATATTCTCACATGTATTAAAATAATTAGTTTTAAATAGATAAAAGTTAAAAACATTAATGAAGTTGAACTTTAATCAGATATATAAATTATTTTAGAGTGAAATGTTTGACCTCATATAGAATTGTTGAAAAGTCGACCGTATCAGAGGAAGTATTTACCTGATTTTACCTGAGAACCAACATCTCTCTAGTGGCCTCAGGAAGCCGGCTGCTTGTCAAAACTTCCTCATCCCCCCCCCCCTTCCTTTTTTTCTGAGGATTTTTCAAGTTGGATTTCGAAAAGCAGTAGCAGACGCAAACAATTGTTTACTTCTTCGACGGGTAGGCGGTTCCCTGGGTTTATAACCCTATAGATGAAAAAAACATCTGTTTTTTTGTCCCACAGGATCTCATTAGCATTAAACAAGGAGTATATATATATATATATATATATATATATATATATATACTCCTTGTTATATATATATATATATATATATATATATATATATATATATATATATATATAAATATATATATATATATAAATATATATATATAAATATATATATATAAATATATATATATAATATATATATATATAAATATATATATATAAATATATATATATATATATATATATATATACATATATATACATATATATACATATATATATACATATATATATACATATATATATACATATATATATACATATATATATACATATATATATATACATATATATATATACATATATATATATACATATATATATATACATATATATATATATATATATATATATATATATATATATATATATATATATATATATATATATATATATATATATATATATATCTTGGTGTGTATATATGGACTAAGAGGTGACCTTATTGCTGCACTATGCTTAAGGTCAGAAGGCATAAATATCCCTCCAGAGGATGATAGAGCCTCTATCCCTCCAGAGGATGATAGAGCCTCTATCCCTCCAGAGGATGATAGAGCCTCTATCCCTCCAGAGGATGATAGAGCCTCTGTCCCTCCAGAGGATGATAGAGCCTCTATCCCTCCAGAGGATGATAGAGCCTCTATCCCTCCAGAGGATGATAGAGCCTCTATCCCTCCAGAGGATGATAGAGCCTCTATCCCTCCAGAGGATGATAGAGCCTCTATCCCTCCAGAGGATGATAGAGCCTCTATCCCTCCAGAGGATGATAGAGCCTCTCAGCGCAAAACCAAACATTCCCTTGAAGAATTCATTAGCTTCTAAGCCCTCACCCAAGCCACATATTGTGGATGTATATTACTAAATATATTTAATAAATCACTGGGCCTGATTTCTCGTGCAATGGATATTTTGCATGCAATTGTCACTGCAATCTTAAAGAAAGGCGTTACAGACCAATCATCTAGCCTCATTCACGTATAAATTCATGGAAAGAATTCCAATACTATAAATCATTTTCCATCTCACTCTGCGCAGTCTCGGACTTTATAACATGGTTTTGTCAAAAATAAATCCTGCTGACCGAACCTGATCACATTTTCAGAAACGGGATCCAACACAGACAGAGAACTATCAATAAACCACCCAGGCTAAGGGCTTTAGAGAATTCAATCCCCTATATTTTCGATATACCTCCATCTCTATACCCTATACCCCCCCCCCCCCCGTCCATGGCCTGGCGATGTAATATACTAGAACTATGACCAGGGTTGTTCCACCCCCCCCTAACTACCCTGTTTCTACTAACTATAAGCAGAGAAGCTAACAAGTCCAACTAGATAATGGGGATTCCGAACTCGTTCATCAGAATCTGTAAACACAGCACCCGGGCTGGACGGTAGAGCGACGGTCTCACTTCATGCAGGTCGGCGTTCAATTCCCGACCGTCCAAGTGGTTGGGCAACCATTCCTTTCCCCCTCCCGTCCCATCCCAAATCCTTATCCTGACCCCTTCTCAGTGCTATATAGTCGTAATGGCTTAGTGCTTTTCCCTCGTCAATCCCTCCCCCCCTTTCACCCTCCCCCCACCAACTATCTATCAACTGTGGTTGATGAGATCACCAGCCTGATCCTCCTGTTTACTTAGTACTTATAGTAACGGTGAGGACCAAAGTACATATATATGGCGTAGTGGACAACTGGAAAAGTCGACCTCGTTACTATGGAATTTAGACAAACCGCGGAAAAGGTTGTCATATTTACATTCTGGAGAAGGTACCTTCGTCAGGAGACGGTACACTTGAAGATAAGGCTGCTTGAAGACTTCTCCTTTGTGCTCACACCTTAAGAGGCGGTGTTCCAGAGAGAGAATGATGTGGAATAAAGTTAGACCCCAAAAATCATTTTATTCATTATATATATTTGGTTAAAATTTTTACATTTCTCTTACCTATCTTCTCTTACCTAAGGGAGCCGGTCGGCCGAGCGGACAGCACACTGGGCTTGTGATCCTGTGGTCCTGGGTTCGATCCCAGGCGCCGGCGAGAAACAATGAGCAGGGTTTCTTTCACCCTATGCCCCTGTTACCTAGCAGTAAAATAGGTACCTGGGTGTTAGTCAGCTGTCACGGGCTGCTTCCTGGGAGTGGAGGCCTGGTCGAGGACCGGGCCGCGGGGACACTAAAGCCCCGAAATCATCTCAAGATAACCTCAAGATATACCTTAAGATTACATGTTTTACCGCACAAACAGTTTGCCACCACATTAGATAAACATGGACACGTGCTCAGAATAACTTTACATATATATTAAACAACAAAATTTAAACTTAATCCCATTCTGAAAGGTCCAGCTCCACATCACTCGACAAAACTGTTTATTGAGACTTGAGGTCGATCTCGAACCATTGTTGATGTGACGACTTATATTGCATTTTGTAACTAGCTCATCAAGATTGTAACTTGCTTAGCTAAATGAATTGTGGGGTTCAGTCCCTCAGCCCATTATGTGCCTCTGTAAACCCTTTCCCCTACCGCCCACAAGATGGGTATGGGGTGCATAATAAATGAACTAAACTAACTGAGTGAATAATAACATCATCCAGTTAAATTGAAGTGTGTATTTATCATATATTTGTAAACTATTTTAGTATGCCCTGTGAACCTCAAGTTAAGACGTTGACTCTCCTTCTTCTTCAGGACACCAACATGGAAACTGTGATATTGATAAGTCCAAGATTTGGGATCAGTCAAATTACGGGCATCAGAAATAGCATGGTAAGTAACCTCTTGGTCTGTAGATTGCATGATCTGAATCCTTATTTCTAAATATTACAGAGTTATTATTATTGTTATCTTGACCCCATGTTCTTTCTTGGGCTCAAATTGTACACATATAATTGTTAATTAATAAGCTATAATTATTAGGGGATAAAAAACTCACACCTTCCTGTAGTCCTGTAGTTAAATTGACTGTTTTTTTCTCCAAAGAAAGAGCAGTTGATACGTGTTTGGGCTTCATTCTTTATGTAACCAGGTCAAATTAAACTTCATATATGCAGTATTAAGGTTTTTGTTACATTGTGAATTTCGGAACAATGCCGGGAATACCATTTTAAATATGAAATTTCTTTAAGTCTATATATATTTTTCCATGTATAAATGGAAGAACTAATTGAATTGAATTTAAAGCAAATCGTCCTGTGCAATACCCTATAAAAATCAGCAGAAATATTAATAATAATAAGAGAACTCACAGTAACGTGATGTATTAATAAACAAATTCACAAGGGTCTTGATGGGGATTCGAACCTGTGTTCTGGGTGTTCACAGACACGAACAGTAGTCAACTGTACCACGGAACGGTATAAATATTGCAACCTGGAGTGCTACTGACCCCACGAGGCTCCCCAGGCTTCCACTGAAGCCTAACCAGCAGGGAGTGAGGGCAGGGGGACGAGGGGAGTGAGGGCAGGGGGACGAGGGGAGTCCCAAATATAACCCAACACTCCCTCGGGAAGAGATGCTCTCTTGTCTCCCAGTTGTTATGGATCATTATTCATTGTCAGAGAATGCGATTTTCGGCTCTAAAGGAACGCGAGAATGTTACTGTGATATCACGTCATAAGAGATAGAAGGGGAGAGACGGGAATCTATAGACTCTGCCAAAGATAGACAGACAGACAGACGCACAGATGTGTGAATTAATGTGGTTTACCGTCTCGAGTGACAGATGTGATCAAAAATGCTCGGGGTGAGCCTTGGATGCTTTGATCTCACGCACTGACAGCAGTGTTCATCAAAGCTCCGCTTGAAGGGTGACAAAGGGGCTTTTAAAGGGAATGTCAGAGATGAGTTCTGGGAGTTCTGAGAGTTCTGCGAAGTTCTGAGAGTTCTGCGAAGTTCTGGGGAGTCGTTGGAGAGGCACAGCACCTGTATCAAAGGTAATGAAAGTAGGCTATGAAAGGTGTGGAGGAGAGGTACGATTGCGAAAGCAGGCATAGGTCGGGTTTCTGAAAATGCAGAGGAAGGTAGAGAGGCGGAGGAAATAGAAGAGGGAGATTTCAAGGGACAAAAAATATGGGTGTCTGAGAGATTTCCGGACTTGATCCCTTTGTCCCCCTTCCTCCCGCCCCTCCCGGCAGAGATTGTCTGCCCCTCTCCTTTGGGCCCACATTCTGGAGATGTTGGACAATGGGATGATTCGGGTGGCCTGGTCCAGTCCTGCCTATTCTTCGTGGTGAAGGTGAATTCACCGAAGAAGAGACTGAACCTTGTACAAGGTCTCCATCTTTCCCCGATCCTTCTGCGCGACCACTATGACTGTGGTCCTGTAGGTGACTGTAGGCCAGACATTGGACATGTTCCTGGATCTCCAGGAACACCTATTAGCATGTCCGTGTCCATGAGAGATTCAGAGGTGCCAGGTCAGTCACATCTACCATTTAAGGGCGTTCCATTCCAGGCTCTCCAGGGTGTATTTTTTTCAGGAGTACTCCCTATCAGGCCCTTAGCCTCTGGCTGGTCCGCTAAGTATTACCTACTTCAGTCATAGACGGCGGATGAGTACTTCAATAAGGTTATGTCCAACGTCTTTAACTTCCTGGATGCTGCATCAGGATCATCATCTCTCGAGGATCAGTATTTTGCCTTAACTTTGCGGCTGGTTGCTTTGTCACGTTCAGTCTCTAGCTTTACCTGCTAGCCACGGATTCTGCGTTGGCTCTGATGTGCAAGTTTGGTTTTCTAGACAATGATCTGAATTCCCAGCTCTGGCCTTTGTGAAATTTGATTTGGCCGGTATTCAGAGGACCCTCACGAGCCACTTCAAGTGAACCATTGTCCAGGTACTAGGCAAGTCTGGTTGCAAGTGTCGAACTGTTTTCTACGCCGTCACGCTTGAAGGCGGCTCAGGAATCACTTTGTGCCACTTTGTGCAGGCTCCCTTAATGGTCTTGAGGGATCTGTCTTTCCAAGCTGGAGAGAGAGTGAGTCGTTAGCCATGTGATCTTACTATCTTGAGATCAATTCAGACCTGCGTTCCAGGGCCTGCGTTCCAGAGCCTGCGTTCCAGAATCTGCGTTCCAGAATCTGCGTTCCAGAACCTGCGTTCCAGGGCTTGCGTTCCAGGATCTGCGTTCCAGGACCTGCGTTCCAGAACCTGCGTTCCAGGGCCTGCGTTCCAGGGCCTGCGTTCCAGGGCCTGCGTTCCAGGACCTGCGTTCCAGGGCCTGCGTTCCAGGGCCTGCGTTCCAGGGCTTGCGTTCCAGGATCTGCGTTCCAGGGCTTGCGTTCCAGGATCTGCGTTCCAGGACCTGCGTTCCAGAACCTGCGTTCCAGGACCTGCGTTCCAGGTTATATTTTTGCCAGTTTGATGCATGTCTCCGATGTTACTTTAAGAGCGGCTTGTGGTCCAAACCTCGCCCAGATTCTTATCTTTTTTCTGATACATTTCAAAATTTTCATTTCCGATGTCGGGGACAGGAAGCCTTTATTTAGGCTTATCGAGGTCCCCGACGAGATGCAGCCCACAACAGTTGTTTAACTCCTGGGGTGCATATTTACTGTTAGGTGAATAGAGGCATCAGGTGAAAGAATAGGAGCCCAGCCTTTCTGTCCCGCCTGGGATCCTCGATTTTGTGTTGGGGACGTAGACTACTATACTACAGGATCCAGTAAACCAAACACACACACACTGAATTGGAGAAGGTTCAGAGGTTTGCCACCAGACTAGTACTGGAACTGAGGGGCATGAGCTATGAGGAGAGACTACGGGAATCAAACCTCACGTCGCTGGAAGACAGAAGAGTTGGGGGAGAGGGACATAATCACCACATACAAGATTCTCAAGGGACTTCAAAGGGTAGACAAAGACAGTTTATTTAACACAAGGGGCACACGCACTAGGCGACACAGGTGGAAACTGAGTACCCAAATGAGCCACAGAGACATCAGAGAGAATTTTTTTTAGAGTCAGAGTTGTTAATAAATGGAATGTATTAGGAAGTGATGTGGTGGAGGCTGACTCCATACACAGTTTCAAATGTAGATATGATAGAGCCCATTAAGCTCAGGAACCTGTTCACCAGTTGATTGACAGTTGAGAGGCGGGACCAAAGAGCCGACGCTCAACCCCCGCAAGCACAACTAGATGGGTACTCATGTACTCTCTGTGCTACATAGCCTTTCCGACTTGGTGCCTTCTTTTGATAATTACTTAGTTCACTTACTCTCTCTGCTCAAAACGCCACCGAAAACAAATCCCTGATTTCAGACTGAATACAAATCACAGGGAGTAGCTGTAGGAGTTAATATTTCTTAATCCTTGCACTGCTCACCTATTTTCGGCAAAAACGTCTTGGTGCAATTGACAAGGACATATTTTTGTTATTTTTACAAATGTTCAGGTAAATTTAATGTCAAAATGTTTCCAAAGTTAAATATTTCCATTTCAAAACACAAATAGTAATGAAAACATTAAAAAACATTAAAATATAGCCAAATTAAAAAACAAAAAGCACAACTCTCTGAGCGCCTAAAGGCGCTTTGCGCAGTGCAGTGGTTAAAGAGAAGTAATGTGGCCGACCACGACCGGCCTATTAGTCACATACCACCCATGTGTCTTCTTGCAAAGTTGAGTGAGGCTAGCCCCTAGCGTCTGACCTCCAACCTTGGCCAAAGACAGGCATTCTCTTATTTTTTAAAAGGTAAAGTTAGATATATATATATAGATAACCCCTAAGCCCCGATTTTCCAGCTATCGGTGGGTTAATGGAAATGACTTGTTAGTTCGTGTTTATCATAATTGATTATAAAAGTGTATTTTTTTATGATAATAGCGATAATAGCAAGCAGCCACCCTCCTGGGACCCTGCCTGTGTGGACACCTCCTGCTGTTGCGTTGTGCAGGGCCTCACCTGGGCACGTTTGGTACCCACACGGGGTATAGGGTGAAGGGTGGGGCTGAGGTCTTCAAGTACCTTACCTTGAGGTGCTTCCGGGGCTTAGTGTCCCCGCGGCCCGGTCGTCGACCAGGCCTCCTGGTTGCTGAACTGATCAACCAGGCTGTTAGACGCGGCTGTATCGTATCGTACAGGTCTGGGCTGTACAGTTTGTTTGTGGTTTCTAATTGACAAAAGGTTTAAGTTGATTACGGTTTCTAGAAGTGAAACTTTAGAGGTGAGGGCTGGGCTGGTGAGGGGTGAGGGTTAAGCAGGAGGCCGGTCAGGGATTAGTGAGAGTTGAGGACTGAACAGGTGAGGGCTGAGGTCTGGCTCGGGACTCCCCAGCACTACCGCTAAGAAAAGCTCCAAGACGTGCTTTTATGTACAAAAAAAAGGGGCGAGTATTTCTGGAGGGCCTCGACGCCTGCTGTTGAGTGCAGCCGCTGGTGCTCTGGTGGGCCCTCATGTGTCAAGATGGTCGACCATCCCATTAACCCGGCGAGGGGTCGCGGGCCTTCGGGCTCCTCCCGCGTTCCTCGCCCAATAACCTCACGCCCACCCCCCTCACACACGCCCACCCCCTCACCCCTCACGCCCACTCCCCTCTCGCAGGTTGAGCTGCGTCATGTCCGTTTCCGACCCAGTCTGCCCCGGCAGACCACTCCACAATACCCTGCCAGTAAGCACGTGACCTCTTCGCCACGACCAAAGTGAACACGTTCATGAATAATTTAGACAAGCCGCTGCAGGAGGTACCTGGCCAACCAGGCTGGAGAGGTTGTGAGTCTAGCCATAGAGCTCCCAGAACCCACTCCAGGTGTCCTCAAGGTATAGATGAGATGCGAACCCTTAGCAATACGGGGATGATTCGACCACTTATAGTGGCAACTTCGGGGGACGACCATTCTCGTTAGCGACGGAAACGACTCGGCGTGATTTCTTAATGGTCAGCTGGTGGGGGGGGGGGTCATCAGGGAGCCTGGCTACCGGGGATTGGTGACAACTGGCGTTGTCCGCCAATCAGCTGCTCCGAAGGACAAGATTCGACCCTACTTCGACAACCTCGTTTGGAAGAGATCCTTGTATTGATAGTGGTACTTCCTCCTCCCCCCCCTCTCTCTCTGTCTGTCTGTTTGTCTCTGTACCTTTGCTTGCTGGTCTGTATCACTGTCTGTCTCTCTGTTTCTCTTTCTCTGTATATTTATCTTTGTATCTCTCTCTCTTTCTCTCGTGTGTGTGTGTGTGTGTGTACTCACAAATAGGTAAGAGGACACACACACACACATGATGTACACCGTTACTGTGCCTTTGGGATGTATGGTGCAGCAAGGGGCGACTCAGCGTGAGATGAGGTGAGGCCGCTCGCGGGAGGTAGATGTAAGAGTGACTTATGGACAGCATCCAAGGCTGCTGGAATAGGTCTATGGGGGTGAGGGGCGCGTTGGTAGGCCTACTGGGTAGTCGGGCGGCCTCCATGGTAGGCCTAGGGAGTAGTAAGGGTTGGGGAAGGTTAATTATCTTGATTGCGTGCGTGTGTGTGTGTGTGATGGTGTGGTGGCGCCGTGGTGGAAGTTGGTTGCAAGGGTGTTGTGGTGGTAGGGGGCGTGTGTGGTGGTGGGGGCGTGTGGTGGAGAGGGCGTGGGCGGAACGAGGGTTGTGCTAACACTCCACACGAGGACCAGCATACTGACTCTCTCCCTCAGACTCATTCTTCGTCAGCAACGCTATAGTCCTCAAGGACCTGCTTACACAGAGCGCTCTCCTCTTCCTCTATACCTCTCTTTCCTTCTCTGTCTCTTCCCTCCTCCTCTTACCATCCATCCCTGTTCTCTCCCTCACCTCTTCAATGTTATCTTCTTTTGTCCATGGTCTTCCCTTTTCGTCCTTCTTATTCTCCCTATTCCCATCTTCCCATCTCCCCGAGAAACAGCGTAACTCACTCCACTCTGTGACAGGTCTAACTGGCCGCGATGTAAAGCAGCTGCTACCTTTCTAAGGGCCATAACTGCTTTGTATATCTTTCCGGAAGTCGTTTCGTGAATAACGTGACCAAATGCGCTGGTTTATTTCCCCGTCTGGCGTGTTGTGAGGGGCCTGTGAGGTGTGAGGAGGCGTGAGGCAGGAGGAGGCGTGAGGTGGGATGAATAGTGTGTGGGAGGGGGGGGTGAGGCGTGTTGCTCTGCGCCACAGAGCAGCGCGCGACTCTCCACGTGTGTGTGTGTGTGTGTGGAGTCAGCCGCCCTGGCCTAGCACCCAGCCCCGTGCTAGTCACCTCAGTAACTAGGTGGCCAGTCAACTTGTAACTAGACTGGTGCCTCGCCTGGTGCGTACTTGTGATTGAACGTTCCTGTGCTTGTGACTGTAATAATGATCGGTCTAGATAGCATGTTCTTGTGATCGGACGAGGGGGGATGTGCTTGTGATCGGACGAGGGGGGATGTGCTTGTGATCGGACGATTGGGAACGTGCTTGTGATCGGACAAGGGGATGGGGGTAGTGGAGGGCGTGGAGGCCGTGAGGTTGTCGACCACATCTGATGATGGCAGTTTGTTGAAAGGCACGTAAGTAATGAGGTGATGAGTTGAGGCTCAGGTGATGAGGCGAGAGGCTGGTGGCGAGTTGAAGGAGTAGATAATGGGGGATAATGGGTAATTGGGACAGTAAACAACCTGTATATGGCGTCACTTTTGTCCTATTAACGAAGCTAGCTGGCGATTAAGACCCTTAAATCCTGTCCCCATTGCAAATAATAATAATAAATTCCTGACACTACTAAATGAAGACACGATATATATACAAATACAATGTAATATTTTGATGTATTTTTTTTAATTGAAAGTTGTGCACAACACTACTACCACTTTTTAAACACCACGTGTGTTTTACAAGGAGTTTCAGATGCTACCGTCTGTGTGATATGTTTGTGTTTGTGGGAGATGTATATATATGTGTGTGTGTGTAGAAGGATGTGTATGTATGAATGTATATATATAGGGAGTGGTGTGTATGTATATGTGTGTGTAGTAGGGGGACATGTTAGTGTGTATGTTTAGGCTGAGTGAAAAATGTATGAAAGTGTCTCATATGAGTAAGGTGAGTGGGGGAATGAGTGAGTGAGGAGATTGTGAGTATGCAGGAGAGGAGGTATTGACCAGTGTCTTGATATTGACCAGTGATAACTGCAGCCTTAAGTGGTGGTGATGGTTGAGGGGGGGGGGGAAGGGGGAAGATTTAGTGTACACCTGATCACCTCCCTTCAACCCCCCCCCTCCCCCCACTCAGCCTCCGGGGGGGGGGAGGGGGATGCCTCTCCTGAGGATATGTGGCTGGTAGCGACGAAGTCACTGCGACATATGTACTGGGGGTGGCGCAGGCGCCAAAGATGATGTCACTACGACAGGTAAGAAGGGGGGGGGGCAGGAAGGACCTGGTGATGTCAACCAGTGCGACGAAGAGGATTATAGAGTAATGTGATCACCGGTACACCAGGGCGACTTCCGATCAATGTATAAGCATCGTCCACCACCCACCCCCCTTCCCGTTCTCTTAGATCACAAACGTGCAAAAAACAGCGTTCTAAACGTAGCCAGAGACGCACGCACCCAATCACCCCCCCTAACCTCACCAGCCGTGGCACTGTAGACGGGGATATTCGTGACCCTGCTGCCTTTTCGTACTAATTCGTGCATTGGGAGGGGACTAAAATGTAGAAAATAATATCCTTTGGTTGAAGTGGTTGGGCACGCCTTGCCGCCGCCTGGCCCAACGATATCCCGTTATCGTATGATGTTATCGTTGGTCAGTAGTTTCGTCACGTGCAGGCTATCGGGGAGGGTAGTTGATTGTTACGATAGCTATTGATATCGTAGGAGCTGTTTTATCACGCCGCCTGGTTATATTAGCCGCTATCTCATAGGTCTTTATGTTAGGTGTGCTGTTATATCATGTCTCCATGTTATCATACTCTTTATCATGGCTCTGTGTTATATTTGATGTTATATCATGCCTTCATGTCATCAGTGTGGCCGTTATACCATGCCTCTGTTATACTGCTATATCATCGATACACGTTATCATTCTGAGTGTTATATCATGTCGCCATGTTAACATTCTAGCTGGTATATCATGCATAACCTGTTATCATACTAGCTGTTATACCAATATCCATGTTGTAATACTGTTATATGCCTCTATGTTATCATGCTGTTACATCATGCCCTCATGTTATCATACTGTTATATGCCTCCATGTTATCATGCTGTTACATCACGCCTACCATGTTATCATGCTGTTATCATGCTATCATGTTATCCTAGTGCACTTTTCAACCATTGATGTTCTAAACATGTCCTCCTCTATGTCAGGTCTATGCTGTCCACCTCTGTGGCTCCTCCGTCCTGGTATGTGCTATCTTCTATATCTATATATATATCTATATCTATATATCTTTGCTAATTGGTAGTTTGGCCCTTAGTTTTACACCAATTTATTTTTGATGGTGGAATGTCGTTTGCTTTGGGACATGGAATTACATCTGGGTTTTGGTGATTGGCTTCTGCTTGTTTGACTGTAATTGGGTAGTTTAGTGCTATGAGATTAATTACAATCATTTTAATTATATGCCATTTTTTGTGTAATTATTTTTTGGTGTTGTGTCTGTTTAACTGGTACCTATTTTAGGCATGCCTATTTTCTTGTGTGGTTTAGGTAGGCCTATGCTTTTTTTAATAGTTTAAGGAGGCCCATCTCTTACCTTGATCAAAGCAGGTAATTGTATCGTTAAGATTTATGTTATTCTGATATGTTTATTCTTATTTATTAAAAGTATTCTTGCTCTGTTTCATATGTTTAATCCAGGTGTGTGGGTCATACTGTTCATACCTGGCTCCATTTCCTTGATTAATACAGCTTATTGTGTATATTTTTGATATACTGTTCTCAAATTATATAGACATGTATGCTCCGCTGGAAACTTTGTATGAGGTTAACAGTTTTCACCCCCATATCTCCATAGTATTTCCGGCATAACTCCCATAGTATTCGAGGCATAACCCATGTTGTAAGAGGGATCCCCCCCCCCCTTCCGTAGAAATTCAGGCATACTTCAAAGAATGCTAGGTATGCATACGTAATATTGGAGGTCGTCTCGAGTTGTTTCCCCAGGCATATCTTCGTAATAGCCTATGCATATTCCATAATATTCCAGGCATATACCGTTAAATATCCAAAGGCATATCCTATAACATTTCTGCAATGCCCCTATGAAATCTCTGCAATGCTTCTATGACATTTCTGCAATGCCTCTATGACATTTCTGTAATGCCTCTATGACATTTCTGTAATGCCTCTATGACATTTCTGTAATGCCTCTATGACATTTCTGCAATGCCTCTATGACATTTCTACAATGCCCCTTGAACATTTCTGGGAAGCACCGTATGACATTAGCAAGATCCCTCCAGCATCCATCTCCTGGGAGACCATTTGGGAGGGATGTTGAAAGTTTCCGATGATGTCTTCAGCGGCGCATTCCGCCGCGGCTCGTGTGGCGATGCTCAGATGCGCAGGATTCATCTCGACTTTAGTTCCTTCCCTTGCCAACAGATGGCGCCTGTGCTGACGATTTGCACATTTCAACTCTCGGTACAGAGTGAGTCTCGCTCTGAGTCGCGGTATCTGATAGCTGGCTGGTCGTGGTATCTGATTGATCGTAGTGGTATCTGATCGTTGGTATATCGTGCTCAAAGGTAATATAGTCATGATTGTGCCGATGTTAGCCGTTGGTAACCGTTGTTCGGAGACATACGACCTTCTAGTTAGCAGATACATTATATTTTTAACCGTTGCTAAACGTTACGGATCGCCGGGATTAGTTACAGATAATAATGATCGTTATTGACCGTTAGGGAAGTTAGAATCGTTGGCAACGGTCGTTACCAATTGTTAGGGTTAACAAGAGGAGAGCATCTTATAACTAGGAAGGGTACGACAGTATGAAGACGTCACCTTACCTAATTAGCTGTAGGGGAGACATCTCCCGTCACGCAGGGTGCAGTCGCACCTCCACAGATCTCCAGTATCATCTATTGATACTGGTAATGGCTCAAAAGGGCCACCACTTACGGGCTATTCATGCCCATGCCACCTTTTGGGTGGCTTAATCTTCATCAGTCATCAGTAATTAGCTGTCATCCTCAATCACTCATAATGATCTCCGAGTAGCGGGAGAGCACTTGCCCCGCTCCTGTGCCAGGTAAGCTACGGGATCACCATAGCCCGTGCTCCTTGGAGCTTGTTCTGAGTAGCGGTATAACAATAACAAACAGCTGGAGAGTGCACCCGTGCCTTCCCGAGCAGACGAGGAGTTACAATACCCTGGCTGAAGATGTGGTGACCAAAGCACACACACCTGAAGACCATGAGACCACGACGTTTCGGTCCGTCTTGGACCATTATAAAGTCTTAATCATCAAGGCCTTGCAAGATTGCAATATCTGTTGCGAGTCTTATCAGCAACCAGCAAGGCAGGAGCAGCTACTCTTTCTCCTGACTTGTAAAACAAATAGTAAAGATATGGTTCAATTATTTCTAAGAAATCAATTGAGGGCGTCGAACGGTTATCTTGAGATGATTTCGGGGCTTTAGTGTCCCCGCGGCCCGGTCCTCGACCAGGCCTCCACCCCCAGGAAGCAGCCCGTGACAGCTGACTAACACCCAGGTGCCTATTTTACTGCTAGGTAACAGGGGCATAGGGTGAAAGAAACTTTGCCCATTGTTTCTCGCCGGCGCCTAGGATCGAACCCAGGACCACAGGATCACAAGTCCAGAGTGCTGTCCGTTCGGCCGACCGGCTCCCCGTAGGGTAAATACTAACATTAAAGGTTAGAATTCTGAATTCACATAGTTATATCTGCTGAGTTAGGCGTAAATATCTTAGGGGAACCAAGACCATACTTTATTATGGTCCCCCCCTCCTTGTCTTCCTTGTGTCTGTCTCCGTTTTCTCCTTCCTCCTTTGTCTCTCCCTCCTCCTCTTCCCATCTTCTCTACCTCGGCCCATCTTGTCGTCTCGTGGCTAAATATTGTCGTAGGGGCGCGGCCGCCTCCAGCCCTGCCCTGCCCAGGATTGGTGTGTCGTTATGTTCATACAGTGTGGATGATTGTTGCTGTGGGCGTCACACCACCCGTCACACCACCTGTGGGTGTCACATCACCCGTCACACCACCTGTGGGTGTCACACCACCCGTCACACCCCCTGTGGGTGTCACACCCCCTGTGGGTGTCACACCACCTGTGAGTGTCACATCACCCGTCACACCACCTGTGGGTGTCACACCACCCGTCACACCACCCGTCACACCCCCTGTGGGCGTCACACCACCTGTGGGAGTCACACCACCCGTCACACCACCTGTGGGTGTCACATCACCCGTCACACCACCTGTGGGTGTCACACCACCCGTCACACCCCCTGTGGGCGTCACACCACCCGTCACACCACCTGTGGGCGTCACACCACCCGTCACACCACCTGTGGGTGTCACACCACCCGTCACACCACCTGTGGGTGTCACATCACCCGTCACACCACCCGTCACCACCACCCATCACACATTGGGGCCTGGTAGCCTGGTGGATAGCGCGCAGCACTCGTAATTCTGTGGCGCGGGTTCGATTCCCGCACCAGGCAGAAACAAATGGGCAAAGTTTCTTTCACCCTGAGTGCCCTTGTTACCTAGCAGTAAATAGGTACCTGGGAGTTAGACAGCTGTTACGGAGCTGCTTCCTGGTGTGTGTGTGGGGGGGGGGAAGTACTTAACAGTTGATTGATTGACAGTTGAGAGGCGGGCTGAAAGAGCAGAGCTCAACCCCCGCAAGCGCAAATAGGTGAATAGACACACACACACACACACACACACACACACACACACACACACACACACACACACACACACAATCATGGATGTTGGAACAAGTTAGGTGGTGGAGGCCAAGACCGTCAGTAGTTTCAAAGCGTTATATGACAAAGAGTGTTGGGAAGACGGGACACCACGAGCGTAGCTTTCATCCTGTAACTACACTTAGGTAATTACACATACATGCATAAATATATTCAGGATTGTGATTTGTGAATTTTGATTTCTGGGAGCTAAAGGCGTGTGAGGGGGGGGGGTTATGATAGGTATTTAAGGGTGTTTATCTTAGTGGGCGTGACAAGTGGGCGTGACAGGCAAAGAGGAGCCGCCTTAAACGTCATGGTAAGGCCATGACCCCCCCTCCCCCTGAGACGTGCCCTGTGACGCGTGTCCTGGGGCACTCGCTGGCTCGCTTACTCTCGTTCAATCTCCTTATTTAGTTACTTATACTTGTATATGACTATACGACTGGTATATCTCCTGGTCCCCGACTGCGGGGAGCTTCCCGTGGTTCATGTTAAGCCTTGTTCTCCTGGTCGTCCGTGGATCGTGATTTATTACTGATAAGTGAACGAGGACCTACACTTTTGAAACGATGCTTAGAGAATCCAACTCTGGTCAGGTCTCGAACTCGAAAAAATTCGCTCTTTAGGCGTTGGTTGGTGTTTATGGGGGGTTGAGCTCTGGCTCTTTGGTCCCACCTCTCAATTGTCAATCAACTTGTGTACACGCGCAGGAATATCCCTGCAAAAAAAAAAAAAAAACTGGTGTACAGATTCCTGAGCCTACTGGGCTCTATCATATCTACATTTGAAACTGTGTATAGAGTCAGCCTCCACCACATCACAGCCAAATGTATTCCATCCGTAACTACTCTGACACTGAAAAAGTTCTTTCTAACGACCCTGTGGCTCATGTGGGTACTCAGTTTCCACCTGTGTCCCCTTGTTCGCGTCCCTCCCGTGTTAAACAGTTTATCTACCCTACTAGTATGTCATGAGTGACTTACATCACCCTATATCGAATTGATCTATTATTATCTATGATAACATTGACCAGTCACTGCCTTGGGTGACCTCTAGTGACCTTGCTGACCTCCAGTGACCCCGGGCGACCTAACGCCACCGTCAGGCGCCTGTGAGAGGCTCATATCCTGGTCACACTGGAGTTGCTTTATGTTCGAGTTTATGACAGGTCAACCGGGCTCACCATAGCCCGTGCTACTTGGAACTTTTTGTTCCAGGTAGCGAATCTTTAACAACAACAACGACAGGTCAACTTTGTTGTTGTTCAGTGTTTTGCCCTCCAAGGGGACCTTTGTTTCGCTGGTGGCTTTCGACGCCTGCTACCCTGCCTCTCTCCCCCCATCTCCTACCTTGGTTGGTGCATTCCGCTCACAACCACCTGGTCCTGGGTTCGATTCTCAGGCGGGGCGAGACATTTGGGCAGGTTTATTACACCCCTGGAACCCCTCCTCTACACA